TTATTAGCCCGCTTTTTTTCGTGATGCATTCTTTTATTGTCGTGCTTGTACTTCATGTCAAAAAGTAGGGAATATTGGTAGAAGAGATTTGATGCCCCTGAATCCTATTTTGATTGGGGAAGTATTAAATGTGTGGGGTATTGATTTTATGGGTCCATTTTCCTCATCTTTTGGCTTTGAATATATCTTGCTTTTAGTGGATTATATGTCTAAATGAGTAGAAGCCATTGCCACTAAGACCAATGATCACAGGGTGGTCGTCAACTTTGTTCAATCGCACATCTTTAGCCGTTTCGGTCATCTGCGTGCCATCATCAGTGATGGTGGTTCGCATTTCACCAATAGGCACTTTGGCTCACTATTGAAAAAGTACTCAATCACCCATTGAGTTGTCATACCTTATCACCATCAAACTAGTGGACAAATGGAACGTGCTAATAGGAAAATTAAGACTATCTTAGAGAAAATGGTACGACCCGATTGTAAGGATTGGTCAGTGCGTCTGGAAGATGCACTTTGGGCCTATCGAACTGCATATCGTACCCCTATTGGCATGTCCCTTTATCGGTTAGTTTTTGGGAAAGCATGTCATTTACCTATAGAACTTGAACATAGAGCATATTGCGCCACAAGGAAATTCAATTTTTATATGACCACGACCGGTGACCATAGGAAACTCTAACTTTCGGAGTTAGATGAGCTAAGACACGAAGCTTATGAGAACTCTCGCATCTCTAAAGAGAAGACTAAAGCTTTTCACGATAAACACATTGTTAGGAAGTCATTCTGTCATAATCAAAAAGTGAGGCTCTTTAACTCTAAGTTTCACCTCTTTCCGAAGAAGCTTCGGTCACGATGGGATGACCTTTTTATTGTTCTTAATGTTTTCCCTCACGGAGCTGTTGAAATCCAAAACCCAAAAAGGGGACAAGTTTTTAAGGTTAATGGCTAAAGACTTAAATCTTATGTCGATGACATTAGTGATGGAGAGGTGATTGAGGAGTGTTCTTTCTTAGAACCACATTAGCCATTTTAGTGCACCGAGTCTGGCTAAAGATTTAAACTTAGTGCTTGTGGGAGGCAACCCACCTTTGTAAATATGTTTTTACTGCTTTTACGTTTTTGTTGTTTTTGTCTTTGCAGGGATTGCTATGTTTGGAAACTCATTAACTAGTCCAAGGCTACGTTTACGCATGCTCCACAAACTCCGTTGGTGACAGCCCCACCATTGTTCTTCAGGTTGTATCTTTCCACCTTATATGTTGTTATTGTTAGATTTCTTGTTCTCAAATATGTTGGACAATTTTAATATTATTGATCATATTGCCATTTGAGATCATTTGATGCTAAGTTGGGGAGGATGTTTGTAGTTGTGGGTCATTGAGGACAATGATATTTTAAGTTGGGGAGTGTTGATTGATTTTTACTTTTGTGAAGTGTTGTTGATGATGCTTTTGTGGAGATTGAGATATTTTTGTGAAGTGTTGTTAATGATGCTTTTGTGGAGATTGTGTGTTGAATGGATTGTGCTTAAATTTTTGTGGGATGATGATGTTTTTTGTTGAAAATATGTTGAATCTTACTCTTGTAAGTCCAAAAGTGGTAAAAGTGAACTAAAGTGAGTTATTTTCAAAAAATTTCATGAATTCATGCATAATCACCATTTTAGAAGCAATTGAGGTGCTAGTTGAAATGTTTTGTGAGGTTTTTGAAATTTTTTTATTGCAACATGGTTTTAAACATTGAACTATTAGTTTTGTTTTGTGCTAGGTTTGTCCATAATTGTGGTTAGATACCGTTTTGTGTAAATGTCATTTGTTTTAGTGTTTATGCAAGTCTCCCACATACTTTACATGCCCATGGAGCAAATTTTCATTTATTATCTTGCGTGTGTTAAAAGTGCTTAAATGTTGCTTGATGATTTGGTTTTGATTTGTAGCCTAGTTGACTCGAGTGAGTACGCCCGAGGGGTGTTCTACACCTAATCCCCTAAAGCTATCTAGCTTGGGAGCGGTTGGTCTAAAGCTCGTTACATGGGTCCTCTAGAAAGCTTAAGAAGTCATTACATAGATCATGAGCTTTATAAAAAAGAAATAAAGAAATAAATAGTATAAGTCTTGACTTGTAGCCTAGTTGGTTCGGGTGAGTAAGTTCGAGGAGTGTTCTACACTTAGTGCCCTATAGCCATTTGGTTTGGGAGTCATTGACCTAAAGCCCGTTACACAGACCTTCCAGAAAGCTTAAGAAGTTAAGACAAGGAAAAAAAAAAAAAAGAAAAAGAAAAAAAAAAAGTGATGAATGAAAAAGAAATTATATGTTAAAATCTTGTGTGGAAAATGAGCAATATGTTGCATGTACATAAGTTGGGGAGTTTTGCATGACATTTTAACATTGTGATATGAATATGAAATGTGTGTTTGAGAAGCTTGAATGGAGATAGGCAAATCTTGACAGAAACTTTAGTTCTTTATTTAGATTGTGTTGTTTGCTTGTTATGTTCAAATTCTTCACTTTACCTTTTGATGAATGTCTTTGTTATTGATGAATATGATTGTGTATGGTTTTGTGAAAATGTTGAAATAGTTCTTTTAACTTTACTTGAGGACGAGCAAAAAGTAAGTTGGGGAGTGTGTTAGAGTCATGAAAGTGACTCTATTTTGGTGATAAAAAGACCCTATGTGTGATTAAATTGAAGTATATTGAGACAATTAAAAAATTTATGAATTTGTTCACAAAAATCGCTTCCTAATATTTTTCTTATGAATTTAACATGTTTGGAATGATTTTGGAAAGGGTATGAGTTGATATTAGTTGTGGTTTATGGATTAGGGTTAATTTTGTCTCATTCATGCTGTTTAGGGGGTAAACTGTCATATTTATAAGGGCTGATTTTATCACTTTTCAATCGTGTAGTGACCAAAGTAATATTTTTCACTTTATGTATAAAAAGAACGCGAAGGGTCGTGAACGCGGGTGCTATTCATCCATCTTTTCCGACGGCCTTCGGTGACGCTTCATCTTCCCCGTCCATCGATCATCATCATCTCGTCAACACCACCACGATCACGCACACAGCCGCGACGTTTCGCATTCCGTCGCCGTGACGTTTCACATTCCAGCAGGGATTTTGCCATTTTCTGGCGACGGTTGGGCTCCCTGGTGGTTGATCTTCCTTCCCCACGGTCAGATCTATCACTTCCAAGCTTCAGCTGCCGCCAAAACCGCCGGAATCTGCCATCTCGCCGCCGCGCCTCTTCATCTTCCAGTCGCGATCTTGCTCATTTCCGGTGACCTTTCATCTCCCTAGGACCTGATCTGAACTCCCCATCACCAGAGCTTTCCATCGGTACCTTCGGATCCCATTTCCACCACTATTTTCTGGAAGACTCGCTGGAAAATTAACGTTTTCCGGCGAGTGCGACTGTTCGTATTCCGAGCTGTTTGTTGGTCATTTTAGCCCCTTCTTCACTTCATATCGCTGTTGGTTACTTCTTCTCCGCCATGATCAGCTTCGTTTCCACCGTTTCAGCCTCCATCAACACCACCATGAGCGGCTGAGTTCTCGGTTGTCTGTTACGGCGTAGGCGAGATCGATATTGACTCCATGACTCTGCTCATCAACTCTCGACTAGTTAGATGAGCCCGATTATAGGACATTTGGTAGTATTGTGTTTTGAATTATATTTGTTTTCGTTTCATGTTTGATTTCGATACTTTAATATGGTTTGAGTATAATTTGTGATGAATATTTTTGTCCATTGTGATTTAATGTTTTCATAGAACTCGCTGAATGATAAACGTTAGTCTGAAATAATTAAATGATGAATATTTCTTTTCATTACTTCGCATCGATTGTAATTGAGTTGTGTTCGGATTTAATATAATTTCTACTATTGTTGCGTTTATTGTGAAGTTGGTTGATTGGAAGATACGTGTTGACAAATTGTATTTGTTAATCGCGTACCAACTAGTGGTATTGCCTTGTAGCGTTTATCGGCGTTCAATGATAGTCTTTAACCAATCAAACTTAAGTGATCGGGTGAGACAGGATAGATTATACCTAGAGTGCCGAAAAGCCATTTCGTTTATTTACCTTGCCTTGTAGGTTTAGGGGATCGTAGAGAGTGAAGGAGAATTGTGTGAGTTGGTCTCGTGTCGAACCAAAACCATAACGGCAATGCTTTTATTATAAATTATAAAGTCTTTATTAGTTTTAATTTCATGCTTTTATTATTTGCATTTAGTTTGTTTAGTTTCATTAATCAAATTGTCAATTTCATTTCGGCTACTCAAAATACATTAGGTTGTTAGTCTTACTCCTTGTGGATTCGACCCTACTTATCGCTAACTACGGTATTTAGGTTTAATTTTGTGAGTGACGACCGGTTCGACATTGCTAAGTGAACTTAAGCTACAAATACAATAACCTTAACAATAATGTTTTGCTTACAACTGAGTCATAACAAAAATTACACAAAATTTATGTAAAATGATTACTCTATCGTTTGTTTTTTGCCTAATTGTATAATTCAGTAATAAATATAGTATTACTCTAAATATTAGCAGTTAAAAAGAAATATTTAAGGCAATTATTTGAACTTTCATTTTAATATGAAAACATATCACACATCATGAACAAACACTTATCCAATTAATTTGCAGAATTTCATATGAATATGTTATATATCTAATTCTTGTGAAATTCTCGTGTGAAAGATTTTTTTCAACTTCCTTGACCCAGGTCCATCTTCGAAATAATACCTGATTCCAAGTATCTATATCTAGTAAAATCCTCATGTAAATGATTTTCTACAACCTCCTTGATAATACCTAATTCCCAGTATAATTCATTCTACAAACTACCTGATAACATATCTCAAATATGACTCATTCAAAAGAAAAAAAATCAACAGTGATCGATTTTCCATTTTCTTATCTAAATTAGAGCTATATAAAGCCAGCAATGTATTCTCCACCAGTACTTTCTTCTGCAAACCAAAATGAGGGACAACATGAAGAAACCTGCTCTACTACACAGTCTTGCAAATGCTTTCTTTGTGCTGATTCTGTGCGGCTTTGCACATGCCGCTGACCACCGTGAGAATTTTGGGACGGATTGTCTCGACTTCTTCGGCCCAGCATGCAATGATGGATTTGACACTGGTGGCATGACCAGAAAAAGCTTTCCAGACGGATTTATTTTTGGGACGGCAACATCTGCATACCAAGTTGAAGGAATGGCTAGTAAAGATGGAAGAGGACCTAGCATTTGGGATGTTTATGTTCACCAACCAGGTAAATTAATATCTTCCCATTTCCATTTTTTTTTTTTCATTGCTCATAATTTTTTCATTGTTCTTATATATATATATATATTTTCTTTTTTGGGTGCAAAAGGAAATATTGCCAAAAATGCCACCGGAGAAGTTGCTGTTGATCAGTATCACCGTTACAATGTATGAACGTAGCTTCAGATTATAGTATTCACTGTAATTTTAAAAGTAATGCTTCATTATTAATTGTTACTTCTTTCATTATTAATTGTTATTTCTTTTTCTTTCTTTCAGGAAGACATTGATCTTATGAAAAAGTTGAACTTCGAAGCATACCGGTTTTCGATTTCGTGGTCCAGGATCTTTCCAAGTAAATTACTTTTATAACTTTTAGCTATCCCTCTGTGAAATCATCGTTTTCTTTTCCATATCTAAGACTTATGAAAAATTTCTTTTCTTGTAAATTCTTGCAGAAGGAACAGGAAAAGTGAACTGGAAAGGAGTTGCTTATTATAATAGATTGATAAATGCCATGCTGGACAAAGGTATTCATGAAGAAAATACAAATTAACGAATAATTGATGTAATTTCAGAAATCTATATTTTTCACAGTAATGTTTATTTTACTTTGGAAATGGTAGGAATCACTCCGTACGCAAATCTATATCATTATGATATCCCATTGGCTCTTCAAGAAAAATATAATGGGTTGCTGGACTGCCAAGTTGTGTAAGTTCTTTTCTTAAACTCTTTGTTGAAAAGATGCAATCAACCTAGCCTTTGATTTCATGAATAATGTAAATATTTCAGGAAGGATTTTGCTGATTATGCTGACTTCTGCTTCAAGACATTTGGTGATAGAGTTAAAAACTGGTTCACATTCAACGAACCAAGAGTTATAGCTGCACTTGGATTTGACACTGGCGTAAATCCTCCTTCAAGGTGTTCACCAGGAATGGGAAATTGCACAGCTGGAGACTCCGGAACCGAGCCGTATATTGCCGCACACCACTTGATTCTATCTCATGCAGCAGCAGTTCAAAGATATAGAGAAAAATATCAAGTAAGGTCTTGTCCTTCAATCTTTTTACTAACTATACAAAACAATGATCGATGTTATTTAGAGGGAATTGTATGTGTATTTCAGAAAACACAGCAGGGAAAGATTGGAATTCTATTGGATTTTGTTTGGTACGAGCCTCTTACTAGATCAAAGAAAGACAATAATGCAGCTCAAAGAGCAAGAGATTTCCACATTGGATGGTAATTAACTGGGGCTTTCACATTCAAAGTCTACTGGGTACTCATATATATGAAACATGATAACATGATCTATCTGTTAAATTTTAAACTCTTAATTATTTGTAGGTTTTTACATCCTTTTACATATGGTGAATATCCAAAAACGATGCAAGAAATTGTTGGAGAAAGGCTTCCAAAATTTACACCGGAAGAAGTATTGATGGTGAAAGGCTCGATTGATTATGTGGGTGTAAATCAATACACAACTTACTACACGTATGAACCCGATACCAAGCCTCAACCCACAGCCTATTCAAATGACTGGAATGCGATTTTCGCTTGTAAGCCTCTTGTTTTCTACTAAACATGTTTTGCTTTTGTTCAATAATTATTTGTTTTCAATAGTCTAATTTTGTACTTTCAATAAATAATTGCAGATGATCGAAGAGGGGAGCCAGTTGGTCCACGGGTAAAATAAATATATCTTTGCCATGTTTAAGAAACGAAAAAAACTCAACATTGATTATGATACTTTTTATGCTTCTAATTTGCAGGCAAACTCTCCCTGGCTTTACATGGTACCTTGGGGTTTATACAATGCCGTGACATATGTGAAAGAGCGTTATGGAAATCCTATCATGTTTCTTTCAGAAAATGGTAAGACCTCGGACTCACTTTGTTCTGGACATGTATGAGTTCTTTTCCAATTATATCAATTGATGGTTTTTTCATTTTCCTGAATGACAATAGGAATGGATGATCCGGGCAATCTCACGTTTGCTGAATCGTTACATGACACCACAAGAATCAATTATTATAGAGATTACATATCACAACTGAAGAAGGCTATTGACGATGGAGCAAATGTCCAAGGCTACTTCGCTTGGTCACTGTTGGATAATTTTGAATGGTTATTGGGATATACTGCTAGATTTGGCATAGTATATGTTGACTTCAATACCCTGAAGAGGACCCCAAAGATGTCTGCCTACTGGTTTAAGCAGCTGGCTAAACGAGAAGAATAAGCACTAATAAATTTGTTCTTATGTTTAGATGTTATCTCTCCTTTAGGTTCTAGGCTTTTTATGAGTTTTTCTTTAGGTTCGAGGTTCTTGTAAATAAGCACTAATAAATTTAGAAATGAATAAACTCATTTTCTTAGTTTCTATGTTGTCTTTACCTTCATTTTTGAGCGTTTGGAGTGATTGCAGTTAATTTATTTGCTCAAAAATCTAAATATATATAGTCTTCATATGAGTGTGGCAAAGTATTGAACGATAACATATATATATTGCTTGCACAGTAAAATTAATATAATTGTAATGCCCAACATGGGTATACTAGTAAAAAAACAGTTATTACAATAATTACCTTAGAATTTTGCACTAGATAAATGTTTGTAAAAACATTTTGGTTTGTTCGATATTATACCATATAAATAGTTAATTTCATCGTAAAATAGTACCAAAAACTTATCAATACTATTTGAGTGTTTGTCGATATCTTCATGTTCTTTTCCATAATCCATGTGTATTTATTCTTCCTGTATGGTTTAATCTCATGAATAGATATCGATGATCTTCTCTAAACATCTTAAAAGCTTAACAAAATTAAGAAATATGCATATATGTAGCTGGCTAGCTGAATATCTAATGAGTTCAAAAACTAAGCTGATTTTTTTTCTTCTTTTTTAATGTTTAAATTAATTTAGAGAAATTTGATGTTGAATCTAATCATAATCATAATAAATGAAATATTTTTTGAGTAAAAAAAATTATCTTTTAATAAACAAGGAAGATTGTTTAAAGAAATCTAAGTTTGCCACATGATAATAAAAAATTGTGAAACGCCAGGCGCTGGCTAGAAATGTTGAGCTTCAACTTCATTACATTCATACATAAATTATGATTTGTTAGAAGAAAAAGCAAAGATTATTTTAATTTCTTTCAAATATTGGGACCTGTACCAAACTCAACCTAATCCAACTCTTTCTCGTCTTCTCAATCTCTCTTCTTATTATATTGATTAACTACTTTATAATCTCTTTGATGAAAATTACATTCTAATTTAACTTTAATCAAATATTTACAATTACAATTGTTTCATATTTCTCTCTATTATATATAAGGTTATTTTTTTAATTATAACATAATTAACTTACACGTTATTCATTTAATTTAATGAAATCTGGAAATATTTATTCTTGGTGTGTTTCAATAAAAACACGACACAGCATAGGTTTTTATTAATTGACAAGGTCGTGAAATGTTATTGACTTTTGGTCAACGAAATTCTCCATTTGAACAAAGAAGAGAGGACTGTGATGCTTTGCTTGGCCTACTTAAATTAAATATCTTTCTTTATCCCTTTTGGAATTCCAATGACATATAACATTTTTTTAATTATTATGATAATCCCTACAAAATTTAAATATTCGATATTTAATTAGTGGATACATTTTTAATAAGGTAAACATTATCGAAAGGCATTAAAAAAGCTACTCTTTGAGCAGAAGCTTCTTTTTTTTTTTTATTTTTTTTTATCACAAAAGTTTATTCCAAACCATGGTTGGTGCTCCCCATAATCATTCTCCTTTTAGCCATTATGTTAATTAACTATTTATCTGTCATCAATTATGATTAAATTATAACACTTAGCGGCGACATGCGGTAAAGTTTGGCCAAATTGTAGACAAAACATGTATGATTACTTCAATTATTTATACGATTAGATTATAATTAATAAGATTACATCAATTTAAATGTTCTCTTTATGTAGTAACTACAAGTAACAGGAAGTTGCTTGTGATAAGATAAGATCAAATTGGAGATATATATATTATTATAGTTAAGATTAATCATATTATATGATCACGGGATCACCATCTTCATTTAATATAAAGGAGAGTACGTCACTCCATTCAAATTAAAGCCAGAAGTTGAGGAAGTGCTGTTGAAAATCTGAGACTGCGTGCTCCATTAGACCCGGCAATTAAAGATTAGTTTAGGTATATATGTTTGAAATGCAATTTAATCTATTGCACTCAATTCAAGAAATTTGTTTCAACACCTTCTGTTTATCTTTATTCTACCCATATATAAAAATGCAACTGTTAGAAAATAGTTTTGCTGAATTTATGCATAGAAATTTCGAATTCGGCTGCATGAACGAGAAACTATAATATTGTGTTATGGGAGGCGCCAAAAAGCTCAAAATTCCAAGCTACCAGTTTATATATATGATCTATTATATATAATTTAAGGTATAATTGCTGTCGTGAAGCTTAAAATATTGTGCTATTAGAGGCGCCACAAAAAATGAAAAAGAAGATATAGCTATAGCATTTTTTTTTTTTTTTTTGGTATCCGAGCCAACCTGCACATATCTCAACTAGTCTTTCGAGACTCTAAAGTTAAAGATCAGGTAAGCTTCTAGTGACTACCTCTTATTAGTAATCGCGGGGATTCAAACTCGAAACCTCTTAAGTAATACACCCAAGAGTCCCAAACAAATCATCAAATTACCTAGAGGTAATTAGTGAACGAAATAGAGGCAGCAACAGAAACAAAATATAATAGTAAAACAAATCAAACAGTAAACAAAGAAAATAACACGCGTGATTTACCCTGGTTCACCCAATGTAGGCTACGTCCAGCTGAGTCAATATTATTGCAATATACCTCACCTCTCTCGTTTACAATGAATGAATTGCCCTATGATTTGCTATCACTTCCATAACAAGAGAAAAGTATGTTTATATACTAGGTTTAAGAGACTAAACCTAGTTTTACAAGGATTCCTATTCCTAAGCCCAACCCAATAAGGAATTAGTAACTTAAAAGAAATCCTACAGCGGTTATATATGGAAAAGCCCAAAACTACCTACGGGCTCGGGGACGTTGCCCCCGCGACCCCCGCCCGCTCATCAGGGAGTGGGGCACTCATCCGCTGATTGGGCAGCGAGACCCCCAAATGCGTCTGCGTTACCCATTAATACTAAAGTAGTCGACAACTCCAACAATTAGCTATAGCATTTTCGTTCCCTAATTAACTTGTGTAATTAACACAGTAATTACTTGAATTTTGAAGCAGAATTAACTTGTTTTAGTAATGGTAATTAATACATAAATTGGTACAGGGAAATGTTTATGATGGTATTAATCATAATTTCTTAATTCCATTACCATTAATTTTATCTTTTATTCCTTTTATTTGCGGTGGGCAAATGAGAATCTAATTCTTATCTTCAAGTTTAAGATCTTAACATCTTTTCTTGTCTCCCCTTTGAACATTTCTTTACCATAAGTCACCAATCATTTATCTTTCACTCTTCATTACAAGTTATATATATTTCACTTAATTTTTTTTCCTCATCTTAAGTCTCAAAGTCAACAGAAGAAGAAATTAAAAGTATGTATTAATCATTCTTTACAATTAAAATAGTAATTGAAGACACCTCTTTATTTTATAAATTAAGCTTCACATATGAAGTGGTGTCGATAATTTTCCTGGAAAGCAAACAGCAAAAATTGATTATACAGGTTCCAAAATTTTCTGGATTTCTCTTACCGTTTAGAACATTATTTGGGTTACAATTCAATTATGATAAGATAAACACCACTTTTACAGCACTAAACTTTTGATGTTAAAAGAAATTGTAAAAGGCTAAGATGGAAGAATCAAACTTTTTCCATTCGGCTCAAAAGGAGGAGAGGAGAGGGACCTGAGACAAATCATTGTTCTAAGCTAGTAAGTACAATATTAATTAGTGTCTTAATTAACTCTTTAATTAAACAAACTTTAAATCTCATCATTATTTACCTTGGCTTCAATTATTTCATTACCAAAAGACGAGTACTATGGATAATTCCTTATAGTTTCTCTGTTAACAAGCCAAAAACATGAAGTCTTTTTGATACATCTTGGCAAAGAGATATTGCCTTGAAAAACAACTTCAAATATTATTGTTTTTCTCAGAAAACCATGAAAATTCTTCCTTACATGATGGAACATGCATTCACATTATCGTCACTGAAGATGGAAACAAGATTATCTTCGGGTGCGTTGGTGGCCGGAAAAGCTTGAACAACGTTACGAACGAAGCCGGAAGGTGCCCTTTTGTCGTAGGCACCAGAAACGTAAGGATAGTAAACCAGATGTTGAGGGATATAGGGCCAGAATTCAGCTCTTTTGCCTGTACTTTTCACTCTCTTTAACACCTTATTTGGTTCAACATACCCACTCACCGTCACCCGGCTTTGTTTCCGATTCACCTCGACAGTCTTTGCACCTGAAGAATGAAATCATAAATTAATAAAGCTTATAATTCCAGGGCAATAATTAAATACGAAATCTTATATATGTCTTAAATTTAACATTTTAATCACCTCAAGGTGAATTCCTCATATCATTAAAGAAGAAACTCATTTGATGTAAGGTCTCAAGATTTTTTTTTAACAGTAAGGAAATCTAATTAGGAAATAACTTCATGATAATTGGTTTTCTTTTTATAGGGAAAAAAAAAAAGAGCATGTCATTGCAACATGAATTAATTAATTAAGGTATACCATTAAAACCAGTTCAAGCCTTGATAATTTTTTTTTTTAAAGTATATATTATATATAAATTAAGACAAGTATTCTTCATTTGGTAGTAATTTTAAAACCTGTTTGCATATCCTCCATTTAGTTGTTAGCTACATAGTTATTAAATATATATATGTTCTTAAGGTCAAAAGAAAATGGATTCTCAAGGTTCACAAAAGATTCAGTAAATCCATATTTTTATATGTATACAGATTTCAACTTAAAAGATTCTTTTGTTTTTTCTTGTATATAGATATATGTGAAGTTAATTAATATTTACAGGCTAATAATTCAGAAGGATAGAATGAAAGAGAGAAAGAGGGCTAGCAATTTATTTATTTTACTGCAGAGAACTTCCGGATGATATGAACCTTTCATAGAGGTTACAGCATTTTTGACTCTTCGTTCACAGCCATCACAGTCCATTTTGACTTTGATTTCAACCGTCTGAGAAACAAAAACACAGTTGATCCATTTTAGTATGAAGAAAACAATAAAAAGAAGAACAGGTGAACAAATTGAAGATATCTTTACATATAACTCACTGAATTTAAAGAGGGAGGAAGTTAAAGAAAGTAAGAAGTGTTAGTCGGAATACCTGCATTGCTTTGCGTTTTTTTCTGGTGTTGGTGACAGTGCAAAAGTTGGAGAGGTAATCAAGAGCTCCCATTTTGCTTCTCTTTACCAGAAAGCAAACAACAAGAAAGAGAAAGATGATATTTGATATTATGTTCAGAGGCCTGGTTCTTATATAGGAGTGTGCTTATTTATTGTATTAAGCAAAAGATGTGTAAAAAACAATTTAAAAAGCTGTATTCAAGACCACTTTCGTGTGTATTACGTCCACTTTAATATAATCTAAAATTATTGGTGGTTAATAATTTTTCAAATATAATAAAAATTTTATTAGATGAACAGAGAAAAAAAAAATCTAAATTACCATGATAATATCACATCAACAGTATCATAGATTAGTACATTTTTGTCATATAAGTATTAAATTTAATTAATAACTATTAATGCAAAAGTAATAAAAAAATTACTTGGAGTATAAATCATATGATACTTTGTATTTAGGGTGCGTTTGGCTCAGAGAAGGTTATATTATTGAGAAATGTGTATTACTGGAAAGATAGATTACTAGGGAATCTTTAGAGAAATATATTTAGTGGGTTGGAATAAATTGATGGGTATATTATAATAATATGTTTGGTTGGGAGGATAAATGAGTGGGTATGTTATATAGATTACTAAATTGCCCTCATTTTTAAATAATAATATAATATTATTTTTATTATTATTTTATTCTATTATTTTTTAAATTATTTCTTTTAACCCCCCTTATATTTGAAATTTTACTAAAACACGCCAGACAAATACAACTTTAATTTATAACAAAATCACCCGCACTCACCCCAAGCCACCGTCGGCAGCCACCACCACCACTGGAAGCCGCCGTAATGGCGCACGACCAGTCGAATCTGGCTGGTCGTTCGCCAATAAGGCCTAATCCGGCCAGATCTGGCCGTGAATATGGTTGTTTCACCGCTAGATCTAGCCGTTAATATGGCCATTTCACGGCCAAAGATGTGGCCGTGAAACGGCGACCATTTCAGGGCCAAAAATCTGGCTTTTTCAAGGCCAAATCTATGGTGTTTCACGACCACATCTTTGGCCGTGAAACGGCCAGATCTGGTCGTTTCTGGCCATGGATCACAAATCCATGGCCGAAAACATCCTTATCGGCACACGACTGGCAAGATCCTGCCAGTCTTGTGCCGATATGACGAATTTCATCGGCGGCAAGCGATGTTGGCTAGCGGCCGGCGGTGGTCTTTTATAGTTGGGGGTATTTTGTTAACTTTTAAATTTTTTTTGTGGCGGGGGTGTTTTAGCTAAATTCTCAAATATAGGGGGTCTAGGTAATTGTTATTTGGTAGACATATGAGGGCAAATATGTCCAAAATGATAAATTATTGAGGTCAAAATTAAGATTACCTTGGTAATTTTATAATAACACCCCTTGGAAAGGTAATTTGATTACCCCCAATATTACCAACAGTAAACACTATTTACAATAAGAGATTACATAATATTTTATTACTTGACAACCAAATGAGAGAATCTTGAAAATTAAACAAAAATTATAGGATTAATCTTATATCACCCTGAACCAAACGCTACCTTAGAGTGTTGTATGGAGAAGTAATGTTTTAAAAGCAAAAGAAGGCCATAAAAACTACTTCTAGGTGGCTGAGTAGTTCGATAAGGACTTTAGGTGTATTACTTAAGAGGTTTTGAGTTCGAGTCCCTCTTCAGTTACTAACAGGGGTAGCCATTGGAGCTCTTATTCGACCAGTAATTCTAAGGTCTCAGAAGATTATTTGAGGTGTGCGTAAATTTGTTTAGACATCTCTGATAGCCGGTCATTACAAAAAAACAAGGAGGCGATAAATTAAGCATGATAATGAGGCTAAAAATCATGAGAGTAGGGCAACCCCTTCAGGCTCCCTTCTTAATTGTTTAATGGGTTAAGATAATGGGAAATTGTTGTAAAGTACTTTTGTGTTTGCTTTCAATTTTGTTCAATGAGTGTGGCTCCGCTTTGCAATTATTTATTATAAAGAAACCACAATAATGGTTTGTATAGATTGAAACATCGAGCACTAGGAATTCTTCTATTTATATTTGGATTTTTATTCCAACTATACTCATATTTATCTCCTCAATCATTTCTCTTCCATTTAATTAATTGTCTATAGTTTCGTGGGCATATTAAGCCAAGTTATAGATCTAGTACAAATTAAATAATGACTTTATTATAAGATATATATGGAATAATACTAATTAATTAGGTCCTATTTTTTAAGTTCTTTCAAAACTTTTGACTTTGAGTCTACAGATGAATTCTCAAATTTATCGTTGGAAATATAAAATCAAAAAGGAATATTTGATATTACCAACTCAATAACTCTCTTTATACTTTTAAATTGAAATAATAAATGGACGATAGTTCCTCATCATTCTAAGTCAAAAGATCCACCAACCCATTATTATTATTTTTTTATTTAATAAATATATTTTGAAATTTTTTTTAACGGTGTAAAAACTAGTTTGATTATGAAGTTTTTGAGACATATATTTATTACTCTTTATTTTGACTAGAAAATGGGTTTATAGAGTTTATGTACATGATGGGTAGTCTGGACTGTAGAGCTATGAAAAATTAATGATTTATTTATTGTAATTAAAAAATATTTGATTCGAAACTTTATATGACTATCATGTTTGTTGTCTTTGAAAAGTTAAAAAGAATTAGATCGTGGAAAAGAGACGACTATGGAGAATTTCACAACCATGCATTACCACCCAATATTTATTATATATTTAGGCTTCTTTGTTCTCATGCACTACCCATAATTTTCTTGTCCAATATTTTTCGGTCAAAATGCCATATCAGTAAATATGATACGGTATAAAATTGTGAATTTTAAATATAATACAACACGATTATTATAAAGTGATGTTATATGTATAAACTTAATATACAGATTGGTATGACATCTCTTATTAACGAATTGGTTCTTTATATGCATTCACCCGTTCAACTTATACCCCAGCTTATATGGAAGAATTTGTGTATCTAATATTATAATATAATATTCAGTTTAAAAGATTAATTTGACCTATCAAAGCAAAGATTGAAATTTGAAAGATTTTTTTTTTTCAATTGAGATTTTAAAGGAAAAAAAGAAAGATAAAGATGTAAACTAGCTTTAAATAATCGAGTGGTTCAATAAAAACTCTTGGGTGTATTACCAAGAAATATAGAGGTAAATCCTCTTCAATTGCTAATAAAAATAGCCACTGGAATACTTATTATATCGATAGTTTCAAGGTCTCGAGAGATTAATTGAAGTACGTATAAACTAGTCTGGACACCCTCGGTTAAAAAAAAAAAAAAAAACAAAAAAAAAAGGAGTATTCATAACAAAATGTCAAAAACATTCAATTTTTTTCACTCACTCTCTTGCTCTACTCTTAATACAATGTACATGAAAATACATTTACAATTACACAATTTCTTCATCTTTAGTACACTTATCAAGATGATTAGATGAAAGTGGTTGTGTCCCGACACTTCTCTTTGATTACATGTTAATATATGGTTGACCAGATAAAAGCTCAGAAGTACAGCATTACTCAAATTTTAAACACTTTTATGCAAAGATGAAAAATTTTGTGATAGAACTTTTTAAGTATAGCAAAAAATGGAAAGATCTAACACTTCACTATAAAATCATTTGGGTACTTTCAGAAATGTGAAAGAAAAAAAAATGTTCTCATTTCCTTTACACCAACACAAATGTAAGTGACAAGCCAGACAAACCCTAAAACGAATTTGAGATTGTAAAGGCAAGTGGGAAAGTAAGCAAGATTATTTGATTCCATTCCAGAGAGAGCTTTCAAAAACCAAAGGCATAAATCTTAGAATTGACAGCACAAATAGGACAAGATGTGCAACTACAACCCAATTCAACCAATTATGATACCATTTTAAATAAAAAAGAATGTTTTACTTTCTTCAAAGCTTTCACTAACGGCAAGTTAACAGATTCCTTTTCAAATGCCAAACAAAAAACTCCACTAAAGAAAAACCCCAAGATTGCCAACTGCCTTGTTGTTGAAGCTGCCGTTCAATGTTTAGGAACTTAAAGTTCTCTTGCAATACACATATCCGATGAAATTGGAACAGATACCTGGGATACAGTTCCAGTTAAAATTATCAGTACAAATATTATTATAAAAATTGTTACAAGATTAGTTGCAACAAAAATTCATGATTACATATAATATGTATAGACCAAGAGAAAAGAAGGAATCAATAGTAAAAGAATAAAAGTAATACACTTTGCTTAGCCTGAATCTCCCCTTTCATTTTAAATTGCACTATAGATGCACCTCTGCTATATTATCTTCAGTTTTCGACCTCGCAAACCATTCCAAAATGCTGCAGCGTTTACCACCTTCTTACCAGGAAGCTGAACTTCCAATACCTGATTATAATACCAAACACCAAAATCTGTGAGTCATATTAGCCGCTATTATACCCATTATTTTGACATGTCACAAGAAAATATGCTTTCTGTACTCAAGATTGTCTAAATGTAGATAACAGAACAAACAAAAAACGTTATGCATGTGGAGATCACCATTAGCTGTATGGAAAGGCAATAAACTTTTTTACAGTAGTTCAAATATTTATACTATATTACTAGAATGAGCCTGGTGTGCGATGTTTAGACCACATCGGAAACATATATCATACCTCAACAATGCATTTATAGCAAAATTTGATATTTACTGAAATGGTATATACCACACCTCGAGAGCTGTGCACCCTCCACATGGAATGACCAGCGCACCCTTTCTGAAAGTGATGCCATCTACTTCATTGGCCTTAATTTTGCTATGAGCACAGACTCTTGTGGTGATAATCTTGAGTTCTATGATATTTTGCTCACTGTTTCTGTCATCAACAACAGCTACTTTAGCTCGGGTTCCTGGCCATCCTGCAAATGCACGAACCTAGAAGGGCTGTGTCATGAATACATATCAACTTTGGAGAAAAAAGGGTGAGAGTTTACCTTATTGTGAAGGATTGAAGCTTCTTGATCGAAGGACAGCCATGACTCCTCAGGAGTTATCTACATGAACCAGTAAGAATTAAAGTTTGAGCAACTTCACCGATTATAGATCACTGAATAAACCATACTTGGCCAACTCAACATACTGCAACAAGCCAACACAGTTGTAGAGATGATTGAAGAAAATACTTGATGTGATAATTTATTCGTTAACAGAATTTCCTCCCCACCTTATTTACTTGCAAAACTACAGTAGTCGGATAAGATTCACAGCCAAGTACCATATCATACAATTCTGTCTCATCTTCCATTCTTTGTATTTCCACAAAAGGAATTCCTTATTTGTAAATCCAAAGAAAAAAAAACACTCCCTAACTAGGAGCTGCTCAAGAAAAATGAAATAGCAAGCACGAGATGTGATAAAATCTGTTGTTATTTTATCCCATAATTTCATTAAGCTAACAAGGAAATAACCATTCAATACGATTAGTTTATACTTTTACTTGTATTTAATGATTATTTTATGTTATAAATTTATAAAATTTTGGGGTTATAATGGTCCTCTAAAACTTATTTCAAAAGTTGAAGCTAAATTTGAAATTTTATAGGTCAACATGGTCAAAATAGAATGCAAGGAGGTTAGAGGTCATTGATTAAATTACAGGGGTGGGTCAAAGATCAGTTTGCAAACCACAAAGAGTCATATTTATTTAGGTCTAACCATAAGGTAAGTGAACTAAATATTCCTTTGATTAAATTTTATGAAGAATACATACATAGCACTCCATAATAGGCATATGATTCAATGAAATACATGGTCAATTTTCCAAAACAAAACAAGAACAAGAACAAGTTAAATTCATCAGAGGACAACTAATTAAAATAAAACATGAGGTGTGCGCATCACAAGTTGAGGCATTGAAAAGTGCCCTGTTTTACTATCCCATGGCTCAGCACAATTTAGAACAATATTGCCTTGGTGTAAAGACAGCTCATTAAACCCTCACAAGAGAATACATTTGGAAAATTTGAAAAAACTGTTTAATCTGTTTACAGCTGAACAAGTCAGAAAGAAGTACCTTTGGTGCCAAGGTAGCTTTAGAATCATCTTGGGCCTGTGCTTTCATCTTTGCTGAGCCATCCAATACATAGGGAAGCTCACGAATCAGAAGTTTAGATCCTGCATGGATAAAAAGGAAAAATGAATTGAGTATAACTAAATAATATATTATATTTTCCAATATGATTCCATGACATAGCTCAAACACGTCAGTGCTTAAACTTTGACAAACTAAGTGTATATTATCAGTGCATTGATCAAGAAAACAGATAAACATCATCTTGATAGAAGAGCTAAAAAACTATCCTATTCCTCCTACATTGCTTATATACATCAACTCTTTACATTCATGCTCATTGATAAACGCACGAATCAATGTCTACAAGTGAAATAATCTCTTCAGCATATGTATAATGCCAATTCATATAAAGTTATAAGCTGCAAAACTTTTTCAATTAAGATACGAACAAATAGGAAGCTATAGTTCATAAAATGCATAAATGCTTTAGGTACTAATGTAAGCCCCAAAAAGAAAGAAAAAAAAAAATAAAAGAAAAGAAAAATTAAGAGAAGCACCTTCAGAAAATAATAATGCTAATAAATCTGGTGCCTGCATGCAAATTAGAGTAAAGGTGAGACATAAATTGCTTGGAGAGCATTAATCCCCTCTAAAGAAGAAATATTGAAAAAATTGCAGTATATAGATTAATATTCTACTATGTTTGCAGGATGCATAAGCTAAATTTATAAGTTTAAAGTTATACTGGAAAATTACACTTTATCAGACATGACACTTCATCTATATGCCAAATTACTGAAGGCATGTTATTTATGTATTATTTTCTCTTTCACTAATCTAACAAATAACATGGTTGATGGTTGTTTAAAATAATTATCTAGAAGGCAGACCTTTATTGGGTTTTGGGAATTGGTAAATGGATGAAGTGGGACGACTAATATACAAAGTTTCTCTATATTGGATAATCAATATTATGTGTGTGTACAAATACATGCAAGAGAGCGAAAGCGACGATTCAAGGCAGTGAATGAAGTAGCCCAGTAAAAAAACAAAGAGAATATATTATATATGAACCAATTAAATAGCATTTTAGATTATGGGTATCATTCAGCAGCTAAGATAACGGCATAATCAGCATGATACCCTGTAATTGGGCCAAATAAACCAAAACATCTACCGATTGAGCCAAGAGCTCTGGATTAACTGAAACCCACAATTAACACTTATTTAAGCCATTAGTACTTAGGTTTTAATCTCAGATAATCATCACTTTTACCTTAATTTGATCATCGACTTCCATTCTTTCACAGGCAATAACAGGTCCAGCATCAAGTGCACGCACAGTAAATGCTAATGATACTCCTGTTTCTTTAGCTCCATCCTAATGCAGAGTTTAAACATAATTGTACAATGGGAAGATTTTCTAAGAATTCATATCTAATCTTTAGAGACCAATAATGCCACCTGCAATGCTCTTTGAACAGGAGCAGCACCACGGTACAGCGGCAGCAGACTAGGGTGTATGTTCACTGTTCCTGAGAAAATTGTAGTTGAACTTTGAGAAGTTTTCATAGCAAATATTCTGTTTAGGAATGAAGGATACAACTGAAACTTTAGCATCAAAGCAGTTTTGTTCTCTTTTCAATTAACCTCTAAAATTCCTGAATTTGTTAGCAGATATTCTTTTACTCACCCAATGGTGGAATATTGAGGAATTTGCTTGGTAAAATATTCCCATAGGCTGCAGTTATGCAAAGTTCAGGCTGCAAAGCTCTTAAACTGGTCAAGAACGCATCCTGCATAGAAGTAGAAAGAAAATGGTTTCTCTTCATGAAGTCACAAATTCAAGCAAGGAAAGGAAAGTTCTAAAGGCAATGCTATAAAGAAAGAAGAAAGAAACGTTAATCAATCTTTCTAGTTCATTAGACAAGCACCATCACCGAAGTTTGAGTTGCTTTCATGTTGTATAAGATAACAAAATGCAGTGATTCCAGTCAAATCATCAGAAATAAAACAACAGCAGAATGACTTTTGGTAAATATCAGTCAGCATCAACTTCAAGTAGCAAATATTATGCATTCCTCTATTCTAGATAAGAAACTGGTTAATTATTGAGCTCATGTAGAAGTTAAAACCACTAGAGAAACCATGAATTACCTCTCCAGCCCGTTCGGGTGTGAAAATGAGGTCAGACGAAAAGCCCCTCTCAAGAGCAAACTGTGCTACCGGAGTAGGCAGAACCTTTCTACCCCTATCTCTTCTAGAAGGCTGGGTAACAATTGCTGCAACCTAAACCATACCAAATCAGTAAAATTCATAAGATTGCCTCTTGATTTTGACATTCATCCAACTCAAATAATTAACAAATATAATAAGTTCTTTTTAACCAAAATATTTTTCTCGCATTATGCATCCCATAAACTCTTTTTGAAAACATTAACACTAGCGACAATAAGACCCCTCCCCACCAAAATAAAAAACTATTACAAGTGTAAACATGAAAAAAACATCTGAACTTTAATAAAGTGTAATAATTTTGATGGTGACCCAAGAAGCAAAAGGGTTGAAATAAAATATGCAAAATGTAGAGTCCACGAAAAAGAAATTTCAAATAAAGAAGCTAAGTTATGGAGTACCTCAAAATGGGAGGTGGGTGAGGAAGAAGCGTTGAAGAGAGCGTCGAGTACAGTAGCAGAGACCTAAAGCCAAACCAGTTCATGAACAAAAGAAGTGAAAATGAAATGGGGGCGGGGAAACATATATACAAATGTGTGAAGTATGTGCAAGGTGGGTACCTGAGGAGAGCCCAAGAAGACGAGAGGCTTCTTCTTCGAAGCACAAGCTGTTGTGGTTGCTGATGATGATGATGATGATGCGTTGAAGCAGAAGAAGCGTCTCAACATCAACGAAGAATTCATTCCTCTTCTTCTTCACTGGACTTCCTTCAAGCCGCTCTGCTTTTTTATCTTTGATAGAGGTGAGAATTTGGGTCCGACCCTTTGGGACTGCCCAAAAACCAGACCCAAAACCGGTTTTTGGGAGGACCGGTCCCATTTTAGCCCGGCCCAGACCCAGACTGAGCCCAAAGAGAGGAACGGTTCTTTGGATTGGTCCCTACTCAAGAGCCCCGGCCTAAACCCGTCCCAGGCCCGGGCCCAAGCCCTCGTGTAAAATTTCCCATACACGTCCGGGCAAATATCTTTAGAGGTTAAAATGAAGTTTTATTAAAACATTAAAACAAATTAAATTTTTTTTTTTTAAAGAAATATGCATTGTGTTTTAATTTTTAATTTTTGGGCTATTACAGTTGTTTGAAAATTTATATTTTACAATTTTTAAAAATTATCAAAAATTTCTTTTAAAATTCAGAGAAGTTCCCAAAAATTTGATAAAAGAAGTGAATATCCTTGAAATCTTGAAAATCCTTATTTATTTAAATAGTAATACTATACTCATAAACATTTCTTACTAACTTTCTTTCACAAATACGATATGTTAGTTTGTAATTTGTTAGCTCACAATGAGTCTTGTCTGCCCAATAATGGATCCCACCTGATCAATTTCGAATTGTTACGTCAACTTTAGTAAGAAAAATTTGTCAACCTATTTTTATTCTTATTTTAAAATAGTTTTATTCCAAAATGATATATTTCAAAATGGGTTAACACAACTATTTTCAAATTCTGGAAATGAAAATTCGATGTCTTGTAATTATTTTCAATTTAAAAAATGTAAACATCTTAATTCTCCAGGTATGTTCTCATTCAACAGTGACAACCCTACATTGTGGATTCTAAATTTTTATATGCTTGACATATCAGAATAAATACATATAAAGTGATTAATCCAAGCTGATTATTGTAGCTCTTACATTTAATATATATTTGCATACAATTTTTGCAGTATTCTCCAACAAACTGGCTCAGCCTCGGGCGGCTACTTCTCCAGCAGTTGAGGGGAATCCTGGAAAGAAAATTAGGTTGCTTCAACTTTCCACTATATGCAATCTCGGCAACAAAGAATTCTACTGGTTCATGCTCTCGTCGAGAAAATACTAATTTCAGCTAACTTCGGATAAAAAAATTCATTATTTTTTGAGGTCAAAGCTCCCAGACTGACATTCTAATATGATTTACATGCTCCAACACCCTTATGCAGTGAGTGCTTTGGATGGACCGATTAAGAACAATCTACACTAAATTCTGTATTATTCCATATACAAACTTCCAAGTGGAGCTCCTCCGATGAACTAAGGAAATGAAACGGAACTAGGAGAAAGTCCATAGGAGGAAAACCTTCTAGCCGTCCAGGAAAATTTTCTGTCAATGATTTTAATCTGAGAGAGCTGATTCCTCTTCCAGATACAAGATCATACAGATACTTTTCCTTCGATGAGCTAGGGCCTAAACGAGTTATCATGACTGTGTTCCCAATATTTTCAACACCCTTGTTGAGGAGAAAGAGCTCACCATCCTCCTCTGCTTGAAGAACAAGGAATTCTTCATTCATTTCTAAACAAACGGCCAAAGGGCTATTGTACCTAAATCGCCTTCCAGAATCCCAATGTTTGCTGCTAAAGTGCAGTGACAACTGTTCCCATGAGCCAACAAAGTTACAGGATAAAAGGGGGCATGCACATGGCGCATAAATGCATGTTTTTTCATGGTCAGTACTCTTTGTGTAATCCACTGTTTCATTGCATCCATATTCTTTGTTCCGGCAGAGAGATCTGATAGATTCAACAACCACCTCAATGTCCCCGCAGACTACACTCTGGCTCTCAAGAAAATTAGGCATATCCACCTGCAGAAACATATCAAAGTTCACATTTCTAAATGTCAGCAAATGGTACATTAGAAAGATGTTACAAAACAACTGAAACAGCAAATCTGACTCATCGAACAAAAAGAATGTCAAATGGGTCAAACATTCATAGTTTACACTTGGAAATCAAAGATAACTAAATCATTCTGATAAGAGGTTTCTCATCCATCATTACTACTACAAAATTTTGGCACCTGCTTATAGTTGAAGTTTCTATCTCCACATTGAGCCCAACATCCAACACTAACTCAAAATCAATTCAATCATAGTTCCCTACTTTATAAATAAAAGTAAATTGAAAGGCCGAATGCTCAATTTAAAAATGTTATCCACTAGTACAACATGCTTCTATTTAAACATGTTCTCCACTAATACAACCACGCACAGGCAGCACTCTAAAGAGAGAGAAAACATTAACTTGCGTCTATACTGTAACAGCCAAGAAACTTCATTGCTTTCTTGATCAAATGATATTACAAATAAAAGAAATTACAATTGGTTGTTTGACCTGTTTGATTACCCAGTTCTCATTGTAGACCAATCAAGGTCCTGTCTTTAGCCTATCATGAGGAACTCTCTTTTTCTTTCTCCTTGGCATCATATTGTCTTCTGGCTTTAAACTTAAGAAGTCTTTTTATTGTCGTTTTTGTTCCAATTTTTCAATTTTTCGCCCTGTTTAGTGTCAAACACATACACATCTACCCTCTGCAGGTTATAATGAACTAATTTGAACAGATATGACACCAAAAATTTCCGTGTAGTATAATGGTTTATATTTTATAAATAAAATAAACAAATAGTATAAAGGTTTCAATTCTTTGGTCTTTTGCTGACACTGATACAGCAATTAAAGTAAAATCCACCCACTTTCAATTAGACATAAACTATATAAACCATCAAAATTGACTAAACACTGACCAGTATCAAGAGAAAAGCAATTTTATTTGCAATTGCTTTACAAGAAACAGTATTTTGTCACAAGAACTTCGTTGGGCAGTTAGAAAAGTAGAACTTTCAGAAGAAAAGGAGATTTTGGCTACCATTATGGTTGAAGGAAAGAAGTACGACTTATTATTAGAATAAAAATTTTAAGAATGAAAAGAACAAAGATTTTTCTACCTCATCTATAGCAATATCTCCATTCATTCGTTCTTCTTCAGCCTACAAAATAAACAAGTACAAGAACATATTGTCAGTCAAATGATTTATTTTTTGTATTTTTCTCCATTTTGATAGGTAAGAGTAAGAGGAAAAAAGATCATTTCACTGATTATTGTCAGGTTGAACATGGAACTACCATTAAAATGAAATCAGATGTATGTAGTTTCTACAAGAATATTGTGAATATTAAAGTATTAAATATAAACTAAATGAGAATTTTTTAAAATTACACGAAATAATGGTACGGTTCTCCGTGTTTACTAGAAGTTTAAAATGTTTATTTTTCACAAACAAATTAAACATATTATTTTTCTAACTCCACACTTGAACATTCTTTTGTGCAAATAATATTAAAAAGACGATAAATCAACAAAAAGGGGAAAAAGCAACTCCTTTTTTAATGTTCTTCTTGTATAAATAATATAAAAAAAAAAAAAAATTATCATCAACATTACCAAGAATAAAAATGGATCATGAAATGTATATAAGGGGTAAACAGGGATTGATCACACACCTTGCATCAACGGATAGAAAACTAATATAAAACGGGCATAGAATATGAAATGGATACCTGGTTCCGATCCTCTTCAAAGATAGGATCATTTTTACTCACTAGCGGAACATCTAGTTGATCTCTGTACTCTGATGACTCCATACCAATGGACCTTTCCTTGCAAATCACCTGCATGGAAACAGCTAACTTCATCACTCTGATGTATTTCAAGGCATCATACATTACAAATGAATATGTACCTCCCCAGATCCATAACCACCAAGCTCTCTCTCTCTTTTTTCTCTCTCGGTAATCTCTTCTTCACCCCATGAAGATAAGCATGGAACAACAGCAGAAGCCATACTACCAGATCCCTCGATTGAAATGCTTTCATAGTAAAAGAGCTATCAAGTAACAAAAGTCAGTGATGGCTTTTCATGCTTAGAGTTAAAGAAGATGAAACAAGTTTATAAAATATCTAGATCACCTGGAGAAACAAAAGACATCCACCGACAGCACGTTGCTTCCCTTGACGATAACGAGAAACCTCACGAACTAGTCGGTCAAGTAGGAACTTTCCCCAGTTGTATTGATGGATAACATCCATATTTGTCAAAAAATGGAGGAATGAAGGGCTTACATCCAGCCTTGCTGTCGGGGATAGAAGAGTTCCCAATGCATAGAGGACAAATGATCTTTTGAAGTCCTCTCCTGCTTCTGGAACTGCCAAACGCTCTTCTAGAAGGCGCACTGATATCCCATGATTTGTAGCATTATAACTATGACGTAAGTCAGCAATCAGATCGTCAGGCCCAGAGTTCACCACATCCTTCCCACTAGCTGCCAATCCCATTACAAGTTCCACATCTCTTGGGGATAAAGGTATACACTCACCACAAATATCCAAGCTACGTCTTGTAGTGTTGAACCTCTCCAATAACCAAAGACACAAACTCCGACGAAGGGTTCGGCATCTAAGGCCCAGAAGGCTGCCAAAACCCATGCTTTTGGCAGCTTCTTTTTGTTCAGGTGTGAGGCGTTGTAAAACATTAAATAAACGGCCAGGAGAGCATCTTGTGACCAGTTTAGTCTGCATCATTTAAGCTATAAGATTTTTCTGCAGCAGAGCTTTAACAAGGGTAACCAAGAAGAAAGCGTTACCTGCTTTCTTGGCTTGGGAATACGGGCAGGAGCTGTACTCAAGTAATTATCCCACACTTCACGAGCACGCCTAGTATATTTTGCTTTATCCTCAAGGCTCATAGACTTCCAAGCATCCGAAGCTGCCTTTGTGGCCTGAAATGAAAATACTTGCCTTTAGAATTATTTGAAAGAAAAGAGGCATCATCTATCAATTGAAGCCAGATCAGAAACTCACAGCTTTGAGGCCTGAGGACTCAGGATGGGAAGCACTGTACTCCTTAATAAAATCCCGGCTTCAACATCCCAATTGATATATAAGTATGTCAGAGATAATAACTCAAAATAGAACATACTAGAGAACTGATTTTACCTGAAGTACACCCATGAGCATGCAGGACGAGGAGTGTCAACTTGCTTCTTCTTTTTCTTTTTCCTATTTCCTTCTGATGCATGCTCTTCTGCCTTTCTCTTTAACACTGCACCATCAGCTTCACTTGGTACCTAGCATATAACATAACTTCTGAGGTGTAAACCCAAAGAGAAAAGCTCTAGCACCAGATAGAGGTTCTTTATTACTTAAACCTCAGAAAGAGATTCTCTTCTAAATTGACAAAAATGAATAGCAATTACTACAACAAGTTAAACAGGTTACCTCAGAATAAAACATTAACTGCCCCCAAAACTTGATTATACTAAACCTCAGTTTGACAGACTTTTATATAAAATAATAGGAATGAAGCTCTTAGAAATAAGCAATGTATACATCAAATTTTAAGCAGCTTCAAACAATAGATAATGTTCATGATGATATTAACACATTCTTACTCATGCCACAAACCAAAAACCAATCAAGCATAAAGTTGGAGACAATTTTTATTAAAATTATAGAAGCCCTTCTTCAACCTATATAGTTCTTCAAGGGACATACCAGCAAGCACAATAAACCAGACAGACAAAAGCTCTAGATTGCAGTTCAATGCAGCTCTTCATGTTGTTAAAGTGGAACCCCATTAAATTCCTAGAATATCAATAGTGTTACTATTAACTTGTTAAAATCATAATAGTAATTCTCTCCATACTCTTTTAGGCTGAAAATCAGGAATCAGCGGATACAACCTCATGCTGCACAAGGTTGTACTTGTGTTTTTCTAAAAAATATTTTTCAATCAATAAAACCATAACTTCAAACAACAAACTCAAACTAATATTTTAGCCTATAAATGTTTATGCAAGATTAAAATGAAACAAAGGTACATGAATGAAGCTACTCCATCCCATAAAATACAATTCTCAAGAGTCAACAGTGGTAATCAAGCTCTTCTGGGTAGTACCCTTAGCCTATGAACTATGCTGCACCTCATTGTACTCATGACTTTGCAAGTAATTCATAATTCGCTTTCAATTTAACATTACTACTAATGCCAATGCTTTCAAATTAAAACAACCGTAAACTCATACTGATATTTCAATTAATCACGCAATTAAAACACATTTACATAACCATCCTAAAAGACTGCTCTTCCAGGTAGTACCTCAGACTGTTAAACATTATATCTCTACCCAAAACACATAAAATAAAAAAAATGCATAAAGTGAGAAGCAATACCATTTCTTGATAATAATTCACGCCTGAATTTGAGGCCACCACCAGGAAGAAGAGGAAACTTCAGAAGCAAAATTAGGGTTTTGAAAAGGGTAATTGGGGTATAATTAAGTACTCAGAGAACGAACTTTGTAGTGAGAAATCGATTCCAAGAGATAACAAAAAGCAAATTTAGGCCATCAAGTTCACATCTTTTTCTTCTTCTGGCAAAATCGTTACTTTCTTTTTCTCGCTGTGCAGCGTTGTACTTTCCGTTGTCTTTAATTCTGTTCTCTTGAAAAATTTCGTTGCGTGAAATTCCCAAAAGATCCTTCAAATGAATAGTTATCACTACACAAAATACAAGCCGAATTACATGGTAGCCACTCAAGGTTTATTGAAGCTACAAACTAATCCCCTCACTCCCACTTCAAAAACCATCAGCTTCTTTTAACTAATTTGATGGAGAAAACCTAAGTGCTTTTTGTTGTTGTCATCATCAGATATTCCATTCCTCCAAATGCAGTGCTTATCAGAACCAGAAGCACAGAAGCAACCCATTTCCTTTATTTCGGTGAATAAATGTCACAGAATAAGAATCACATGGAATCAGGAATCTCTTCATTGGCGCCATTATTGGCACCTTCAGAGTTGCTTTGATTTTGAGAATGGCTTTTTTGTCTCTTTGGGTTCTCTCTGTTTGATCCTGCTTCACCATCTTGTTAACTGGACATGGAGGCATCATTCTACTCTTCAGTTTTCTCTTTTCTTGTATATTAAATCATAGCAAGCGTACCAAAATTTATATATAATGTCCATTTTCATATTTTAATGACCAACCCAATTGTTTTTAGTAAATCAAAATGATAAGAAATATAAAAATAAAAAGAGAAAGTATATTCTAACCAAATTAAAATACATGAGGTTAACAAATGCTCATTGGGCGAGACTAGTGTTTGAGGGTGCCGTCGTATCCATCTCTTGCCGAAATGTGGTACCGAAAGCCCAATCCCTGGTTTGCAGGTGCAATGCAACTAATTAATACCGCACTCCCATTAATTCAATCTCATTGTGGATAATAAACATGACACCATCAATCTCTTCTTGAAGAACTCCAAACCTGTCATGAGCACCTATGTTAACAAAGAAGTATCTAGTGTTCCAAAAGAAAAGAGTACAGCAGAATTCTCATGGTTGCCACTGAAGTGTTGGTAGACCTGGTTGGATAAGTCCACAAAGTTACAGTCTGGAAGGGGGCAAAAACATGGCTCATAGTGGTCTGATATATGGTGCTCATCCTTCTAGCTGTAACTCAACGTTTCTTTGCAACCATACTTGGTATTCTAGCATTGTACTTTGACAGATTCTAGAACTTTTCCATGGTCCTATTGCGGGTATAACCAAAACGAGAATAGCAAGAGTGACATTTGTTTGTGTTTATATATATAAAACCATTGTCCATACATGTATTTGAAGCAGAAAGTATCAAGTGTTAAGAATAAACTCGGATGAAAAAATCTACATTTGTATATTACAGTTAACATAAACTTGAAACAGAGTACAAATTTGATGTTGAAAACCAAATTTATTTTTCAGATTAAAGTAAGTATTTCAAACAGAGTCCACTTGGTTTTGGTTGTTTGCTAAAGATGATTTTATTTTTTTTTATTTTTTTTTACGGTCAAATCACATCAAGTTTCAACTTTTTCTAGAAATTTTTAAACAAGGATATTTTTCGTTGCTATGTCTGTTTAAAAAAGCTTGTAAAATTCACGAAGCCAACTAACGTTCTCTAGTAAATAACCAAACCTAGTAGATAAAAATGGACAAGGCTTCAAAGCAAATGGGCCAATAAAAAATATGAGGAACAGTAGAGATTCTTGAAATGTGAACACCTTTTTTATAGTTGACGAAGATATTGCTGCAGACGAAAAGGACTGCAACAAAGAGTTAGCCGCGCAGAAGAAGAGGCTGGTGGCGGGCCTGGCGGCAAAGGAGAAAACTCAGCTCTGGAAAAATTTCTTAATTTTATATCCACTTTTTGGTGGTCTGAGATTGCCTCCACTATACCATTATGATTTAGTTTTGAATCTATGTGAACGAAGGTGTTGACGCTTGATTTTGGACACCAACGAATTGCATGTTAGAAACGCTGAGCTGACTCAGGAGACATACGTGATGGATCCATGAGATTTGAATATGGGGCTGAGATTATATATTTTGCAGAAAAATAAATAAAAGATTGGCAAGAAAGGGTTTTTATAGTGGTTCGGATGCTCAACAAGCGACTCCTACATCCACTGTTATTTTATTGCTCACTGACTATTTCTATGATTTTGCCCGTAAGGCACACAAAGATGAAGAAATACAGTGTTTACAGAGAGAGAATGAAATTAAGCTCAAATCTCAGCCCAGCCTCCAGCACCCCTTCTTCGTGAAGAGAAATGTCCATTTATTCACCCAAACACTCAATGTAATGAATGTTTTGCAAGTTGCCTTGACACATGGAAGACTCTCGTCCATTCATTTCTTGAAAGGAGATATGGTTTGTGAGAATATCTTTAGAGATATGGGCTTGGCAGTTGGTACAAGAAGACATTAAATGAGCTGACATAGGCGTGACTTTTGAAGCATAACATAAGGCTATCCCATTCGTCACCTTTTGCATCAAGTTTTGGTCATTTTTTGATTCAAGATCACATCATGATTTCCAGTCTTTTTTAATTTGCTTTTAATTTTATATTTTCTGGAAGTAGTTGTAAGATTGGAGTTCTAATTATCTATTCCCTTGCTAATTTGCTATTAGGCTTTAAGCATCAAAATATGCACGAGTCTCCCCAGAAGTTTATTGATACCCTTTTCCGAATTTTGAATTCTATTATATATACAAAATACCATCTTAAACTGAGTTATTCTATATAATAACCTAATAATTAGTGCTAAGCAATTTCACATTTTTAACCAAAGTAACCTTTCAAACGATGAAAAATAACAAAGCAAAAAGGAGAAAAAATGTGCACATCTTTAACTAACACATGATATTGGGGTCTGAAATCAGCCCAGATAAAAATATTACAGTCACTCATACTGGAACTTTGTACTAAATGCTCTGCCCAGGCTTCTAAGAAAAAAGCTATTTAGCAGAAACAAAGGCTTCAAAAGGCGCTTAAGAAACATGTACAAGAGTCAAAAGTATATGCTTTGTTTCTATTCTAATTAGAGTAATGCTACAGTTATTGAAGGGTGTGCACCGAATGACGTGACAAAATCCTGACTGTTGATTCATTATAAGTTAATATTAATCAACGGTCAGGATTTTGTCATGTTATTCGGTACACAAATTCGGTGTGTAACTTTCGGTAACTCTATCATTTTCCTTTTAATTAACAATAAACAGTGACAAAGACAACCCAAGTCTGTTTGTAGAGGTAAGTTTATGACTGCATCAAGAACTAGAAGAAACATTCAAGGCCCACGTATGTCGATGAACAGCTTGAGCTGCCCATTTGAATCAAACAAATTAGATGGAACTAGAAGGGATGCAAATGAAGTTTTTTCATCATCCAATTTTTGGATGCTCTTTGTGCAAGAATCAAATCTAAGGGGAGTTCTTCTTGATCTTACCATGATATTGTAGGTCACGCCTCCATTCCAGGAGGGTTCAAAACAACTAACTGAAATAAGATTCCCAGATCGCTCAGTAGCATTGTGGAGAATATATATGTCACGACAATTCTCTTCTTGAAGAACAATAACTTTTTTATCGATATTAATGGTTATGGGTGTTAAGATTCTAGGGTTTATGAAAACCTAAATCAGTGGTGAAAACCTAGTCACTAATCAACAATCAAACTCATGACAGATATAATAGAAACAAGTATAGAACAAGACACAGCAAAATTATAGTGGTTCAGCTTTGCAGCCTACATCCATTCTCCAAAGCTCACAATAGGGGATTTCATTATCAATCAATAGTGTATAGGAAGAGATATTGAATCAGAACATAAGAGAATACAGACAAGAAAGGAACACACCAAATCCGTAAAACCCTAGATTACTCAATCCGAAATCTACCTCTTATTTCTGGACCAGCATGAGTTAAATACACATGCTTCACTCCTGGATCATCAGCCATCTATCCTTGATTCTCCATAACAGAAAGATTGTAAGATCAATTCTAGAACATTCTTCAAGGTTGAGAGCTATCGAACCAAACAGAAAGGAGAGAGAGAAAAGGAGTTTGCGCAAAAGTGTGAAGACCTAATTAGATAAGTCATTAGGTTGGCCAAAAACAATGTCGCATGAGTGTTTGACTAAACAAGGAAAAAAACTGACTTCCACCGTGGCAAAAGAGAAGCCACATCATCACAATTCTCCACCTTGGCTTCTTGATTTGTCACCCCACCATGTAGCCTTGGAAATTTTACCAGTTCACTCTTGAACTTGAAACAGGCTCATACATGGCTTGTGTTTTTCAAATGGCACAGATTTTGTGAACATGTCGGCAGGATTATGAGATCCATCAATTTTTTCAATCTCGATTTCTCCTCTTTTAATCATTTCCCTAATGAAGTGAAGGCGGACATCAATGTGTTTGGTTCTTTCATGGTAGACTTGGTTTTTACAAAGGTGAATAGCACTATGACTATCACTGTTAATCTTCACTATCTATTGCTTAATACCTAACTCATTGATCAGACCTTTCAACCAGGTGGCTTCCTTTGCTACCTCAGTCAATGCAACATATTCTAACTCAGTTGAAGACAGGGTAACCATATGCTGCAATTTTGATTTCCAACTGACAGTGTTTCCCCACAAAGTAAAAACAAACCTAGATGTAGACTTCCTTTTATCTAAGTCTCCTGAATAATCTGCATCACAGTAACCCTCAACACACTCATCACAACTGTGGTTTTTCTTAAAAACAATTCCTGCTAATCTAGTTCCTTGTAAGTATCTCATAATCCATTTAAGAGCCATCTAGTGAGTCCTTCCTGGATTGCTCATAAATCTGCTAACCAAACTTACAACAAAACCTAAATCTAGTCTTGAACATACCATCAAGTACATTAGGTTTCCCAGTGCACTAGCATAAGGTATCTCTGCCATTTCCAGCTTCTGAGTTTCAGTCTGTGGACTCTGCTCATGTGAAAGTTTCAAGTGAGCACTAAGAGGAGTCTGAATAGATTTAGCATCCATCATATTGAATTTCTTCAGAATTTTCTCAGTGTAGTCCTGCTGGACTAACTTCAGACTTTCAGAAGCTCTGTTTCTGACAATGGAAACACCAAGAATTTTCTGAGCCTGACCCAACTCTTTCATTTCAAACTTGGTGTTCAGTAAACTCTTCAGTCGACACAGCTCAAATTTATCATGGCATGCCACAAGCATATCATCCACATACAACAATAAAAAAATATGTGTCAGTTCTGAGATTCTTTTATAGTAAAAACAGATGTCAAAATTACATCTATTGCACCCTATTTCTAGCATAAAAGAATCAAATTTCTTATACCACTGTCGTGGCGATTGTTTCAAACCATATAATGATTTTTTTAATAAACATACTTTACCTGTAGCACTGTCGTATCCTTCATGTTGCTCCATTAGAATATTTTCTTCCAAATCCCCATGCAAGAAAGTTGTCTTCACATCAAGTTGTTCTAATTCCAGATTGAATTGAACTACTAGAGAAATTATGACCCTAATGGATGTATGCTTGACCACGGGAGAAAATATTTCATTATAGTCAACCCCCTCTACTTGTGTGAACCCTTTTGCGACTAACCTAACCTTGTACCTAGGTGCATCCTGATTTTTTAAACCTGGTTTTCTTTTCAAAATCCATTTACATTTTACCGCCCTACAGTCTTTTGGTTTATCAACCAAAACCCATGTATTATTCTTCATAAGAGAATCAAATTCTTCCTCAATGGCTTTCTTCCATTCCAACTTTTCAGATCCAGAAACTACTTCTTGGAATGTCTTAGGTTCATCATTCATCTCTTCCTCCACCTGAAGTGCATAAGCTACCAGGTTTGCATATCTTAGTCTACTTTGAGGTCTGATTGTTCTCCTAATTCTATCTCTTGATAATTGATAATCATTCAAGTTTGAAGTATCTACACCTTGAGTATTCTTCCCTACTTCATGATCACCAGTTGGTTCTTCCTCATGAGTATCTAACTCCTCAACTCCACCTTGATTCAAACTTGGGCTAAAACTGGAGTCTGTCACTTCTAGTTCTAGGTATCCAGCTTCTGAATAAGAGTTCTTAGATTCATCAGGTTTGTTTTCTAAGCCAGGTAGGGTATTTTCTCTGAATATGACATCTCTACTAACAATACATTTCTTAGTTTCTAAATTCTAGAACTTGTAGCCTTTAACCCAATTTGGATATCCTAAGAAAATGCATTTAATGGCTCTAGGTTTTAACTTTTCATCCTTAGAATGAACATAGGCTAGACATCAAAAAACTCTAAGGTTTTCAAGGTTTACAGGATGACCAATCCACCTTTCAAGTGGAACTCTAAAACCTATAGCTGATGAAGGTGTTCTATTTATCAAGTAGACTGCAGTATGAGCTGCTTCTGCCCAGAACTTGACTGGAAGTTTGGAACATGACAGGATACTTCTTACCTTTTCTAGAATAGTCCTATTCATCATTTCACAGAGTCCATTCTATTGTGGAGTGTGTCTCACTGTCGTATGTCTAACTACCTCATTAATTCTACAGTAGTTATTGAACTCCTCATTAATGAATTCCAAACCATTATCAGTTCTTAACTTTTTCAGTTTCTTTCCACTTTCCTTTTCAACCATGGTTTTCCATTCCTTAAATCTAGAAAAGGTTTCATCCTTGGTTTTAAGAAAATAAATCCAAACATGCCTAGAGTAGTCATCTACAAGACTAAAAAAATACCTACACCTTACAAGTGAATAATGCCTAGATGGTCCCTATAAATCATAGTGCACATACTCAAGTGGTGAGCTTGAGTAGTGTTGTCCAGTCCCAAACTTTACCCTGCACATTTTCCCAAATACATAATGTTCACAAAAATTCAGATTCCCTGTTTTATCCCCACCTAGTAGGTTTTGTTTACTGAGTTCTCCTAAACCTTTTTCACTGACATGGGCAAGCCTTCTATGCCACAAGGTAGTCTTATCTAGTTCCTCAGTTGCCCCAATATTAGCTTCTCCACTATCAGTCCTACCTTTCAACACATACAACCCATTTCTTTTTTCAGCCTTCATAATAACCAAAGACCATTTTAAGACACTAAGACTCCCATTAGCAGCCTTATAATTTAGACCTTTAGAGTCTAAAGTTCCAAGAGAGATAAGGTTTCGTTTTAGGTCAGGGATATACCTAATATCAGTAAGTGTCTTAGTTAATCCACTATGGAGATTCAGCTTAACATATCATATTCCTTTAATATGACAGACATCATTGTTTTCCATCATCACTTTCCCACCATCTAAGGGTTGAAATGAGCTAAACCACTCCCTATTAGGTGTCATATGATAGGTGCAACCAGTATCTAAAATCCACTCATTACTAGTATTTCTATCTGAAATAACTAGAATCTCTGAACTCTCATAACCCTCTGACACAACCCCTGCACTACCTCCATCATCCTCTTTTTCATATTTCTTCTTCTTTCTCTTAGGACAGTCTCTCCTAAGGTGACCCTCCTTATGACAGAAGAAACATTTCCATTTCCCAGGTTTGGATTTAGACCTATGTCTATTCTGCACTCCCCTTTTCTAGTTCTTCTTTTCAGATCTTCCTCTTACTACAAGACCCTCACCATCACTCACATTTTTATCCATAATCCTATTTTTAGTATCCTTAGCTGAGATAGCTTTTGCTACTTCTTCTAATTTCAAAGTCTGCCTACCATATTTCAAAATCTCTACAAAATTCGAATAAGTTTTGGGTAAAGAATTTAACAAGATTATAGCTTGATCCTCATCACCTATTTCAATAGATATACTCTCTAAATCTTGTATTATCTTAAGAAAATCATTCTTATTATCTTTTAGTGAATTTTGTTCATCCATCTTAAATCCAAACAAACTCTATTTTAGAAATAACCGATACGGTACAGTCTTAGACTGATAAAGTGAGTCTAACTTGCTCCATATCTCTGCAGCAGTCTTCTCTTTCTTGACTTCTCGAAGTGCTTTGTCACCCAAGCCAAGAATCAAAGAACTTTTGGCCTTGTTCAGTATGTCTTGTTTTTCTGTGGTGGATAATGTATCAGGTAGCTTTTCTTTTCCTTTCAGAGCTAACGCCAAGCCCTTTTTAACCAACATTGCCTCCATTTTCATTTTCCACAAGCCGAAATCATTTTCACCTGTAAACTTTTCAAGCTCAAATTTAGTCGCCATGTCTTTCTTACAGATCAGAAAAACATTCAGTAATAGGAAAGAGATCAGTTTAAGGAAATCTTAAAACACGACTAAAGAACAGAGAAACCCTAACTGGACCTTCAATCAAGCTCTGATACCAATACCTAGTCACTAATCAACAATCAAACTCATGACAGATATAATAGAAACAAGTATAGAACAAGACATAGCAAAATTATAGTGGTTCGGCTTTGCAGCCTACATCCATTCTCTAAGGCTCAGAATAGGGGATTTCATTATCAATCAATAGTGTACAGGAAGAGATATTGAATCAGAACATAAGAGAATACAGACAAGGAAGGAACACACCAAATCCATAAAACCCTAGATTTCTCAATCCGAAATCTGCCTCTTCCTTCTGGACCAGCATGAGTTAAATACGCATGCTTCACCATTGGATCATCAGCCATCTGTCCTTGATTCTCCATAACAGAAAGATTGTAAGATCAGTTCTAGAACATTCTTCAAGGTAGAGAGCTATCGAACCAAACAGAAAGAAGAGAGAGAAGGAGTCTGCGCAAAAGTGTGAAGACCTAATTAAATAAGTCATTAGGTTGGCCAAAAACGACGTCGCATGAGTGTTTGACTAAACAGGGAAAAAACTGACTTCCACCGTGGCAAAAGAGAATCCACATCATCACAATGGGAAAATCTTTATCGTATTGGAACGGTACTGTTGAATTATAATGTTTACCTATAAAATGCAGGTGAAAACGGCTGTATGGACCAACAAAGTCACAATCTGAAAGGGGCCATACAAATCGTCCTCGGTCGCAAATTTGCCCAAGGTCATACATTTCGCTGTAACTCATTGTTTCATTGCACCCATAATTGGCATTTTGGCATGCTACTTTGGTCGACTTTAAAATTTTCTCAACAGTCGTGTTATGGATATAACCAATAGCAGAATAGCAAGAGGGGCATACGTTCTTAAGATCAATGCAGCAGTATTTGCAAGCTACATGTCCATTAAAACACTGCAGTACAACACAAACATAAAAAAGATTATTGCATTGTACTTATTAATTCTATATAATAGCAAAAATGCCATATCCACCAAAGAATTGCACCGAAACACATGGAGGCCGCCACATTGGACGATTGAATACTGACATAAATGGATGGCCGTCTAACGATTTCGGATGGTCGTCCATATATCCAGGACGGTCGTTCATAGTGGAATGGATGACCGTCCATAAAAAGTTGTTTTGTTTAAAAAAAAAAAAAAAAAAACAATGGACTGCCGTCCATTGTTTGTGAATTTTTTTATAAAAATTTGTTTAAAATATAACGGGATGGCAGTCCATCTTGTAAGGTCCCCAGTTTGTGAAATTTTAATTATTTATAAAATTATTTCAAAATATAATGTAAATATGGACACCAGTCCATGTAGTTTGGATGGCCGTCCATACTAGATGGACGCCAGTCCATGTAGTTTGGATGGTCATCCATACTAGATGGACGCCAGTCCATGTAGTTTGGACGGAACTACATGGACTGGTGTCTATATTTGTTAAAAAAAAAAAAAATTTGTTTAATTAATATTAATGAATGGCTTGTCCAAT